TGGGAAATTTGAAGACTAAAAAGAATGGTTTGAGGGTTCCCCTCCACCTTCACATATCAAATCAATGCACATTTGCAAAGCAAAGGCTACTGACAACTTAATTATATACTTAAAAGAGGCAGCAGCTAGTAGATACAAATACCGTGGGACAAACACTACCCCCAATTGCCTAACAGGGATCTATTTCCAAATATGGAAAATGATGTACCAACAGGTAATAGTACTGCTTCCAGCCTGGCTCTAGGAGGTGTCATGATTGTTTGCATGGGTTTGTTACAGCTTCTGGACCTACATAGCTGTGTTTAATTTAAAATACAAACCAAGAAAACCTATCAAGCCATGAATTCTGCAGTGTGTAATACAAATCAAGTTTGAGATGAATTTAATTGCACATTCATTTCAAGCTAAATAATCTCTGCATTAAATAATTAATGAATCAAACCATTTAAATAGACAGAAATGAAAATCACATCATTAAATTGCAACTTCTGTATTTAATTAAATAGAATATTCTGACAATATCCATTTAAAATAAATATATATCACTCACCTTTAGTAGCTAAACTACTTTCTCAGAGTTAATTTAGATAAACATTCCTGAATCATCATTTCCCTCTTTTTTTTTTTTTTTTTTTTTTTTTTTTTTTCTTTTTTTTTTTCAGGCAGATTCTAGCAAGGCTGAATTTGGCACAGGTGAATTAACTTGTTTGAGCTCTTTTTATTTTCACAAATGATTTAACAATACAAAGAAAGTCTTGATGAACTTGCATAGGAGGTGAGGTAGTTGAGTCCAAGTGATTTATCACTAGATGCTTACAGAGTGATGGAAGAAGTGAACAGTAGTGGTTCCCAAAGCAAAAATAACTTTTGCAAAGTTGAACATGAGTCATACATAGGCTCTGCAAGAGAAGCAAACAGAATCATGTGCCCTCATCTATTACAAGTAATTTAACCAATTTTCAACACTTAACATAACATTTCTGCATGAATATTTTTAGAAGATTTTCTCCTGAGACACCTGCTTAAGATTTCCCTGTTGCAAATCTGAACTAGAATCATTAAGCCACTGTACCGTTCTTCACATATAGAAAGTGTGTCATGAGAATGAAATATTAACCTCTAAGGAAAATCTGCTTTTACAAGAGCACAATTTATTTATCTATTTATTTAATGAGTATATAAGGCACTGTGACAGTGGACCAAGAAAGGGAAAATTAGCAATATCTCCTTACTTTCCTTTGCATTCAGAGCACAGATAACTAGTTAAGTTTTGTAAATCAAACAAAAAGCTGAATCACTAATACTAGTAATAACACTCATCCAAGGAAAATTGAATATAGATCAAACATCCCAGATGAATACCCTAGAGTAAATAATTCAAGCTCAAGAAAAGAGAATAATCAGCAGTGAACCTTGGAGTGAGTTCAATCCCATTAAACACGGAAGTATCAAAACCAGTGAAGAATCCATTACCATTGAAAACAAGAATGATCCTTGCTCTGCAAGCAATACTACCGAACTACTGCAAACACTGCAGCAATATTACCATCAGAGTTGTGTGGGAAAAATGGAAAATGCTTGAGAATATAAGCTTGTATTCACTTCTAAGGAAATGAGGATACAGATCCCTTGTGTTTTGCTTCCCATTCTCTTTTCATGTTTCTGCTAATGTACAAGATTACAACAAAATAGTAAAAGAGGAGATGGAATATATATTTTCCTCATTTTGTCATTTTACTAGTCTTTCTTTGTAACAAAATCATATCACTAGTAACTTCACTAGTCTTCCTAAATAGTCTTTTTTTTTTTTTCTCTAAATGAAAAGTTATTAAACAAGCTGTAAATGGAATACTCTTACTCTTTCGCATTGGCTGACAAGGAGTATGATACAAATCTTGCAAGATCAGTATCTATGCCCAAAATGACTGTAATTCTTTTAAGCTTCTTACTGTCTTTTGGAGCAAAGACCTCACATTTCTTTTTGGTTTAGAAAATTCAAATTCCAAGATCTCCAAGCATTTCCCAGCATGTGTTTCCATGCAATCTTCTGAATTCCAGGTTCTCTCCGAACTTCACAGATCTTTCCTCCAGTGTTTTTGGTTTTTTGCTCAGACTTTCACTTTTTTTTTTTTTTTTTTTTTTTTTTTTTTTTTT